CGCAATTGTCATTCAAAGCTGAAAATTGGCCTGGGAAGGAAGGGTATAAAAGTGCCGGTAGGCAAGTGATTAAAACAAGTAAATATGATATACTTTCCTATATACTTACTAATGCTAGCAGCCTAAGGAGTAAAAATAGTCAGTGTTGATTGAGAAAGTGAAGTTCTGCTTTAAGGAATGTTACATTCATCCTGCAAAAGGTAGAAAATAGAAACTGGCATTTCACACGTTACAAATATTTTGGGAATTATTGATTACTTTTGCATGAACACTATGACATTTGCAAAACAAATTTTTCAAACAAAGACCCCAAAGGGACTGATTTTTAATTGAGACCAGATACAGTTATCAGCCGGACTCACCAGTAAAATAAAAGAGGAAAAAAAGTTGTGAATTAGGCAGAGAACACTCTGAAGGATATGCCAGGCAGCATACTGCATTCTGTACTTTATGAATGAGGCGTAAAGTGCTTGAAAGGTGGAACATCCATTGTAAAGTATGTTAAATACACAGATAAAATACTTACATGAGAATGGCTTTACCTACCAAAGGATTTGTAATTTGGTACATCCAATTCTGAGATTTATGCAGCTCTGCCATACAGTACAGCCAGGAGGATGAGAATATTTACAAAGAAAGAAAACAGAGAAAGAATACGCTAAACGTGGAAAAACGTGTGTAAACGCAGTACCGTGTTTAGCTGCGTTTACCCGCATTTAGCACTTGGACATTTATTCGTTTGATTGGCCAGAGTATTTTCCATTCACGTGGATAAACGCCCAAGCACTAAACGCGGTAGCATTTAGCCGCACTTAGACGCGTTCACACATGCTTTTGCTGCATTTAGCATTTTTTGGCCAAAACATTCCTCTCCTGAACATGATTATTCTGCATTTAGAAGAGGAAGGTTTAACTGCCCCTAAACTCTGCTGCTCATAAACCCCGGTAAGAGCCTATGGTTCCATGTACACTGCAGCTGATAAACTCACGTTTAGGAGCTTTTCTGCGTTTTTTTTTTCAGCAGCCCCTGAATTCTCCCTAATGTTTTCCTATGTGTCCATGTACACATCTTCGTTTACAGTCATTTACAGGCAGTTGAGTTTACAGTCATTTTTTTGAACGCACCATACTTGCGTTCAGGAGTAGATTTTATCAGCATTTTAAACGCCAAACCCTTGTGAATGCATATAAACGTGTGTAAACGCGGCTAACAACGTTTATAGTTGTTTGCATTTGAAAAATTTTTGTAACTCTTCCATTTTCAGATGCTGTCCAGAGCCTTTTTTCATCATGAAAAATGCATGTAAAGCGTTTTCCCCCGGTACTCAAATTTACCTGGTACACCATACTTTGAGTTTTTGCATAAAACAAAATATATTAGACACTGCTGCAATAATTTCTGCACAGAAATGAGCTGGAACACATCCAAACACCACAAAAAAAAGACAGCTAATCTCAACACATTGTGCTTCTGCTCTATTTCTCTCAAAATGTCTGAAATGGTTAATTATTTTACTGTTTTTCAGTACATTCTGGGCATTTGGGAAGGTTTCCTGAGGTTATCTTTAAAAAACACTTCTAAACGCAAATGCGCATATATGCGTATGCAAACGCGGCTAAACAGACGTTTTTTAACCTACATTTTCCAGCAGACAGTTTCCATCGTTCAAAAGTGTCCCATGTACATGGAGCCTTAGGCTGACTATACACTATACAATTTTCTGTACAATTTCTGCCCAATTTCCTTTACATTTACCTTCAACTGTGTAGTGCAAGGGCCTGCCTAATTGGATACAACTGAAAGTGTTGTTTGGGGTTGACCTCCTATTATATGGTTATTATAAGCAAAAATCTCCAGAAAATTGTTTAATGTATGGCCAGCCTTAGTGTACATGGACACATAGGCTTTGATTGAGTTGAGTTCAGGGGCTTTGGCATACAAACACCAAAAGTGGCAGTGTACATGAGGACTAATGCAGGCCATAGATGGGGAGAAAAACGGCAGATTTTCGGGCCGATTAACGAACTATCGGTCGGTCTAAAAAACTTACCTGACCACCAATTATTACGAAAATCGGCCGATTAATGAGTAACCTATAACGGGAAATGATGTCATTTTGTGGCCTTTGTGATCCTTTTTCGGAAAACGATCGTTCGTTTTTTTTGACCATCAATGAGGATAAAGTCGGGCGTTTTTCGAAAATTTTCCAACATCACCGATAATCTGAAAGTCCAAAATACACGAAAAACGGCCGACAAAATCGTCCACTAACGATAAGATAATCGGCCGGTTTTATTTTCGGACGAAAAATCGGCCGTTTTTCTCCCCATCTATGGCCTGCATTAGACTGGCTCTCAGGAGTGTTGCTGTATAGGGGATTGCAAGAGGCTGACATCAAGTAATATTCAGGCACCTAATTAGTTGCATTTAATAAAATACACGTAATAGTTTATTATTGAGAACAGACTGCAATAATTTACATCCCTGCATCTTTGCTTGGAGCTCAGCTTTACAACAGAATTCTGCTTTAGAATTCCCCTAAAATATTTCAAACAGTTAAGTTTTCTTAAAAAATAAGTCTATTTGGAATGCATGTAAAAGAAGTAATTAGAGAGATTGCTGGTTTACAAACACCCAGGAACCTCTGTGTATTTCCCAGAGAATAAACCTGTCTGATTCATTTACTGTTCACATTTACCAGCTGCAGGTAAGCTGTTGTATCATCATGCTGAAATGTCAGCCCTAAAATCGATGTTTCTGGATAATAATTAGCATTTTAGGCATATGGTGAGATTATACTAAAGACAAACTGCTAATGTGACTTTATTAATTGTGTTAATTACCAGCCAAAGCTAATTGCAGCTTCTTTATTTTTTTGCACAGCTGCCACTTCATATAGCGTGATGGCCTGCTTCACTAGATTCCATTTAATACGATATACTATAACCTTGTTTTGCCTTCTACAATGTACATTGATGAGTTGCTGGCTGCTGCTAGTTTAATAGATGGCCTCTCGAGATTAATATAGAAGTTCTAAAAACAGCTGAACCTCCAATGCTGCCTCAAATATGAAATATAGAGAAAAGAATCAGTGGGGGTATTGCCCTCAGCAGACAATCAATTCTAAACCTGTGCATGGACATTACAATCTGAATGGACAATTTCTCTACAATCTTCCTTAAAATGTACCAGAACTATGAACAGACAAAAGAATATAGAGCCTAGTTAAACAATTCATTCATTTTCTATCCAATCAGGCAGACCCACATACTACATGATTGTTGAAAGAGATAAAACTGACCATTGCACATTTGTAAAGTTTATGGTCAGTAGCGGGGAACATTCCAGTCAGACAAGAAATTTGTGCAATAAAACTGACCAAGCTCTCAGTTAGCTGCAAAGGAGTAGGTAAAGGAGCAGAATGTGGTACAGGAAGCCAATGCCAGCTTTTCAAGGGAGATGACAATATCCATTGTTGTTGGAATATATTCATATATTTTTGTGCAATGACTACTGTACATCAGTATCAGTGTTCAGTACAGATATATTCTTCAGCCAGTAGATGGCAGTATTTATACGTTTGTAGCTGATCTCTGTGGTTAAACTCTATGTCTTTTTTCTATAAAAAAAGGTCCTGTTTCCTGCAACCAGAGAAGCAGCAGAAAAACACACATGTGAACTGTGTACTGTCTGTTCTGTAGGGCTATATACAGCATCTCTAACAGGTTATGGGCCCAGACATCCAGTCATAGCCTGCTACAGCAAAAGAAGTGTAAGTTACAGTGACAGAAAGAAGACTGCAACAGAATAGAGGAAAAATGGGCAGTAACACAGCTGCAACAAAGCTTTTAATTGCAAATCTGACAAACTAGAACTATCAGTCTTGGAACTTCAAGATGAAAATGCTAATAAGAGAAGATACGTAGACATGTATAAATTAAGTAACACCCTTTAGAGGAGTGGATATAGAAAGATCAGAAAGCTCAGAGCACAATCTCTCTTAGCATAGAAGACAATCAAAGCATATGTATTTGTAAATGTGAAACTGCTGAAGAAATGTGGGAAGGGATAAAAAAGGTGCATAAAAAGCTAATCTTAGCAATAAACTTATTTGCTTAGAAAGCTATTCCAAACCAAACTGAGGAAAGGCCAGGATATGCAGGATTACATAAGCACATACATAAGGAAATGGTTGAACGCCTGAGAGGTATAGGAGAAGAAATAAAAGACTTTTATGTTGCAGCACTATTACTTAGTGGTTAACCAGAAAGTTATGAAACACTTGTCACAGCACTTGATGCACGTTCAGATGATGACCTGACATTGGAATATGGTAAGGGCCAGCTTGTGGATGAATATAAACATAAAACAGAAAGCATTAATAGTGATGTTGCTTCTATCTCAGAGTCTGCTTTAAAGGTGAAAAATAGGAATAAAAACAGTAACATGCAACAAGAAACACATGAATGTTTTGTGTGCAAGAAGCAGGGCCATTTAAAGGCAGATTGCAGAATTTGGAAAGCTAGAATGTGAAAACAAACTAAACTAAAAAAGGCCATAAATGTGAAGGTAGAAACTGGATTTTATTCAGATAGTGAACATCTTTTTCAATCCAAATGTTACACCTCATGTTTGCAGACATGGTGTGTGGATTCAGGAGCTATGGGTCACATGACAAATGGCAGAAATGTCTTTATTCACCTTGAGTATACCAGAAATAAATTACCACAGCTAATGGGCAAATAATGAAATCAGAAGGAAAAGGAAATGGTTTTCTTTAACCACTTGCCTACAGGACACGTATACCCCCTTCCTGCCCAGGCCAATTTTCAGCTTTCAGCGCTGTCACACTTTGAATGACAATTGCGCGGTCATGCAACACTGTACCCATATGAAAGTTTTTATCTTTTTTATGTGACAGATAGAGCTTTATTTTGGTGGTATTTAATCACCTCTGGGTTATTATTTTTTTTTAAACAAACCAAAAACCACTGAAAATTTTGAAAAAAAAAAGTTTTTTCTTAGTTTTTGTTATAAAATTTTGGAAATAAGTGAATTTTCTCCCTCACTGATGTGCGATAATGAGGCTGTAGTGATGGGCACTGATAGGCTGCACTGATGGACACTGATAGGTGACACTGATGGGCACTGATGAGGAGGCACTGGTAGGTGGCACTGATGGGCATTGACAGGCATCACTGATGGGCACTGAAAGGCAGCACTCATATATGGCACTGATAGGCGGCACTGATGATAGGCGACACTGACTGGCACTGCTAGGCAGCACTGACAGGCACTGATAGGTGGCACTGATGTACACTGATAGGCGTCACTGACTGGCACTGATAGGCGGCACTGATAGGTGGCACTGACTGGCACTGATGGGTGACACTGAAAGGCAGCTCAGATGGGCACTGATATGTGGCATTGGTGTGCACTGAAATGTGGCACTGATGTGGCACTGGCAGGTGGCATGGATGAGCACTGACAGCTGGCACTGATGGACACTGATAGGTGGCACTGATGGGGCTACACAGATCATCAGGGCACACTGATCATCAGTGCCCTGATGATCAGTGTAGATGTCCCCTTCGAGGAATGCTGATTACTGGCTCTCCTCTCGAGCTGTCAGCGTGACAACTCGTGAGGAGAGAAATGCCGATAACTGGCATTTCCCTGTTTACATGTGATCAGCTGTGATTGGACATAGCTGATCACATGACCGAGCCGGCATCATCGGCTCTTTCTGTTGATTGATCGGTGATCCACTGTGTCCGAGTGACACAGCGCACCGCCGATCGCCGCGCTTTGCGCTCCCGGAGAATGAGAGAACCACCTTGCGCCAGTCATTGTACTATATGGCGGGCGGCAGGTGGTTAATGTCCTATTTCCCTGAGTGTCACCAGAAAGATACCTGTGAAAAATGTCCTCCAAAGCAAGGCAATGTAGTGCCCCTCCAAGAGGACAGATGTGCCATCACAAAAGGTGATATCTTACTTGCAAAGGCTAAAATTACAAATGAACTATATCAGCTGAACTGCAATTAAGTTTTTAATACTGCGAAGATGAAAAACTTGTGTTCAGTGACTCTCAAAAGGGATACAGAATTCTACACCAAGACACAAACAAGGTAACCCCGAGTAGAAGTGTAATTGTTGATGCAATTTCAGTGTGTTCAAAATTTCATGAAGTAACGCTAACACTTCACACTGAGGGAAATTCTACATCAGTGTCACATGAAGACAAGCAACAAACTGACACAGAAATATAAATTAATGCAGACAATCCAAACAGTGTAAAAGAAGAAACCAAGCCACAAGAGGCTTCGAACAGAAAATCCACCAGAAGCTATAAAGGCATCCCAGCCAATCAGCTGTCCTATGTTTCTCATGTAGCAATGAAATGAGAGCCAGATTTTCAGTATGAGATACAGACTTCCAACCCAGGAGAAACAAAAGTGGATCAGAGCATATGACAAAACCGCTTACAAAAAACAGATTTAAAGAACTCGATTCAAAATGGGACTAACATGAAGAGTAGTTGTTGAGTGGGGATGTTGGAATACATTGTTCATGTATTTTTGTACAACAGCTACTGTACATCAGTATCAGTGTTCAGTTCACATATATTCTTCAACCATAAGATGGTAGTGTTTATAAGTTTGTAGTTGATCTCTGTGGTTAAACTCTGTCTTTTCTCTACAATAAAGTTCCTGTTTCCTGTTAACAGAAAAGCAGCAAATAAACACATGTGGACTGTGCACTGTCTGTTCTGTAGGGCTATAAACAGAATCTTTAACAAATGTACACGGTTTTCTAAACTGTTCAATAACTAAATTCTGTTTAAACAGGATCATTTTGCTTCAGTACTTGTCTATAGGAGGTTGGTCCTGCCCAAGTTTAGATCTCGTTTGTATGCAGAGGAAAGGATAGCATGTAGGTGGTGCCCTCTAGTGTTTGGGCTGTTAAAGCAGTATTGTCATGCATCTGTGGTACTGAGTTCTTGTAGAATGCCAACTCTAGACTGAGCATGTCTTATATAGACAAGCAAGCTAGGAGACGGGCCAGGAAGTGATGGAGGGGAAGGAAATAATACCCACAGACTAGCAGGTGATGCCCATAGGTGAGCACAGCCAAACCACACATGTGAAAGGAATCTGGGTAGGAAAAGCACTGCAGCAAGGAGATAAGAATACACAAGCAAGAAACTGCAGGCTAACTTGTGAGAAGTATTAACCGATTGCCAACTGGGCTATAGTCGAAGGACGGCTGCAGCGTGGTTGTCCAGTCCTGGGAGGGCGTCCATTGATGTCCTCCCAGACCGCGCCACCTGCACGCCCCCAGTGGTGCACACCCAGCATTGCCGGTGATCGCTGTGTCCTACGGACACAGCTGATCACATATCAAGGTAAAATGCCAATCACAGCAGCATTTTAAAACGTGATCAGCTGTGTCCAATGATACAGCACATCACAAAGTAAATACAGTTGCTGGTTATCGGCAGCACTTTTCTCATGCTGTCACAGCGCCGATAACCAGCAAATGCGATAGAGGAGATCTGTAATGATTATTAGTGCCCTGATTATCAGTGCCACCCAGCAGTGCCTTGCAGTGCCACCCATCAGTGCTGCCCAGCAGTGCCACCCATAAGTGTTGCCAGTCAGTGCCTCCAGTCAGTGCTATCAGTCAGTGTCTCCAGTCAGTGCTGCCCATCAGTGCCGCCTATAAGTGCCCATCAGTACCGCCTATCAGTGCCCATCAGTGCCGCCTATCAGTATCCTTCATTGCTTTATATAAGTGCATCATCAGTGCCTCCTCATCAATGCCCATCAGTGCCACCTCATCAGTGCAGCTTATCAGTGCCCATCAGTGCTATCTATCAGTGCCACCTCATCAGTGCCCATCAGTGCTGCCTATCAGTGCACATCAGCGCAGCCTGATCAACGCACATCAGTGAAGGAGAAAAATTACCTGTTTGCGAAATTTTATAATAGAAACAAAGAAATCCTTTTTTTCAAATGTTTTGCATTTTGTTTTGTTTATAGTGCAAAAATAAAAACCCCAGTGGCGATTAAATACCACCAAAAGAAATCTCTATTTGTATGAAAAAAATTATAAACATTTCATATGAATACAGTGTTGAATGACCATGCAATTGTCATTCAAAGTGCAACAGCACTGAAAGCTGAAAATTGGCCTGGGCAGCAAGGGGGTGAAAATGTCCAGTGTGCAAGTGGTTAAACCCCAAACCAAAAATGTAGTATATTGCAGCTTACTAATTATTAGATATAGTGCCTGCATCAATTTTCTTTTCTTTGACTTTTTTCCCTCTGTTTCCACATTTGATTTGACACGTCTTGTATTAGAGTACCCCCTGTCTGGATAAATGAGGGCAGGAGGCACAGCAGATAGTGGCATTGTCAGTCTGGGGGGAGGGGGGGGAGGGGGGAGTAATAAATATATTAGGAGATTTAAAGTGGTTGTAAAGACTCAAGGTTTTTTACCTTCGTGCATACTAAAACCTTCTGTGTTCAGCAGTGTCCCAGCTCACTCAATACTTACCTGAGCCCCATCGAGATCCAGCTAAGTGCCATTGGCCAGTCAGCCAATAAGGAAAGAGAGGGCGGGGCCAAGAAGGGGCTCCATGTGTGAATGGACACATGGAGCAGCGGATGCGCCCATAGCAAGCTGCTTGCTATGGGGGCACCCGACAGAAAGGAGAGCCTGTGGGGGACCCGAGAAGAGGAGGATCCAAGCTGCTCTGTGTGCAAACACTGCCCACAGCAGGTAAGTTTAGACGTGTTTGTTATTTTACAAAAAAAAAAAAATCTTTAGAATCACTTTAAATACACTACCGAATTGAAGCCAACCTCCAGCTAACACTTTATAATCAGTTACAGCAGTTTTTAACCTTTTGGGATAAAGGTTTTACATTAATAAATATAAACTGACCATTTTAAGCATCCCTGTTAGAGGTAAATGATTTGTCTCATCCCTGTAAACTGATCTGCAGTCATGGCAAAAAATATTGGCACCTGTGCATTTCTGTCAGATAATGCACCACTTTGCCCAGGAAATTGTATGACACAAAAAAAGCGGAGAAACAAAATCTGACACATTCCATGCAAAGCTCCAAAAATGGACTGCACAAATTATTGGCACCTTCTCAAAATTGTAAGAAACAAGTTTGTAATGTAATTTGTAATTAAACTCACCTGTATCAAGTAACAGGTGCTGATAATATAGAAATCACATCAGCAACCAGTTAAAATGGTGAAAAATTTACTCAACCTTTCTATTGTGTGTCTCTGTGTGCCACATGGAGCATGGGGAAGAGAAAGAGTAGCAAATAATTGAGGATTTGAGAACAAAAAGTGTGGAAAAGCATGGACAATCTCAATGTTAAAAGTTCATCTCCAGAGCTCTTAATGTTACTCTGTCCACTGTAACACACACACATTGTCAAAAAGTTTACAGCCCATAGCACTGTAGCTAATCTCCCCAGACGTAGACAAAAGAGAAAAATTGAAAGATTACAACAAAGGATTGTTGGCTAAAGAATATCAATCAACTTCCAGACAAATTCAAGCTGACCTTCAGGTACAGGGTATATCTGTGTCAGCTCGCACTGTACGTCGCTATCTAAATGAAAAGGGGCACTATGGTAAGAGGCCCAGGAGGACTCCATTATTGCAAAACATAAAAAAGCCAGATTGAAGTTTGCCAAAAACTTACCTGAGGAAGCCAAAATCCTTTTGTGAGAATGTGTTGTGGACAGACGAAACATAAATACAGCTTTTTGGTAAAGCCCATCATTCTACTGTTTTCAGAAAAAGAAATGAGGCCTTTAAAGAAAAGAATACAGTTAAACATGGTGGAAGTTCTTTGATGTTTTGGGGTTGCTTTGCTGCTTCAGGCACTGGATGTCTTGACCGTGTGCATGGCATTATGAAATCTGAAGAATTCTGGGGTGCAATGTAGGGTCCAGTGTCAGAAGGTTGGGTCTCCATCAGAGGTCATGGGTTTTCCAGCAGGACAATGACCCAAAGCACACATCAAAAAACACCCAGAAATGGTTTCAGACAATGCGCTGGAGACTACTGAACTGGCCAGCAATGAGTCCAGATCTCAATCCCATAGAACACCTGTGGAGATATCTTAGAACAGCAGTTGGGAAAAAGAACCCTTCCAATCCAAGAGATCTGGAGCAGCTGGGAAAAGAAGAGCAGTCCAAAATTCTAGTAAAGAGGTGAAACTCATTGATGGTTACAGGAAGCAACTGATTTCAGTTATTGTTCCCAAGGTATGTGCTACCAAATATTAAATTGAGGGTGCCAATAATTTTGTCCAGTTCATTTTTGGCATTTTGCATGTAATGTGTTAGATTTGGCTTTTTGTTTCTCCACTTTTTTGTGTCATACCAATACAAACAAAAGAAATACACATGAGAATGCCGAAACATTTGTATTTGCAACCATTTTCTGAAGTGGTGCATTATCTCACAGAAATACAGGGGTGCCAATATTTTTGGCCATGACTGTACCTGAAAGAGAGCTTATTCTTCTGAAAAACAACAGACTTGCTGTCTGGATCACCAGATGAAAATAAAGGAAAGAAAGCCTTAAAAGGAAACTAATGTAGCCATCACATCCAAGAATTGGTAAGCTGCAATTTAATAAATGTTTGCTTTTGGGTTTAATATCACTTCAAGTCAGTTCCCAGACATAAAAGGGCCCCGCATGTACCACAGCTTTTAAGGGACAGTCAATCAGAACCCCTAACTATTCCCACTG